TCCCAGGTACTCCACTTCTAACACAGCTCCTTGCAATGATGGTCCAGTATTTGAGTTCCTTCCACACATGTGGGAGACCAAGATGGAGTTTCTGGCTTGACTACAGCCTGCTGCTCTTTCTCGCTGGCTCTCTCACTCACTCTCTTTATCTCTCTCTCTCTTCATTCCATTTCTTAGTTTTCTCAGTATTTTCATTTTTCAGGGGACAATTATAATAACTTTTGAAGAAAACAGGACAAAGAATCAGAAGATTTATGTTCTCAGGGATGGCATTGTAATATGGAGAGCTAATTGGCTCCTGCAACATATTAGAGTGCCGGTTCAAATCCCAACTGCTCCTCCTCCATCCTCCTCCAGTCTAGCTCCCTGCTGATGCACCTGGGAAAGCAGTGGAGGATGGCTCAAGTACTTGGGCCCCTGCCACACTGGAGAGAGATCTGGGCTCCTGACTTCAGCCTGGACCAGCTCTGCTCTTGCAGCCATTTGGGGAGTGAATCAGTGGATGAAGGCTCTCTGTGTCTCTCCTCTGGAAATAAATGAGTAAATTTTTAAGAGAGACAGAGACAGATAGAAAGAGATAGAGATTTATGTTCTCATTAGGGTTTGGTGCGCCCTCCCCGCAACACATGCAAGCACCACCTGGCAATCCTTGTTACGCCATTTAACATTTCAGGTCTGGGTCTGTGATCTGGAAAGTGGAGATGAAGGGCAGCACTCAAACAGGTGTGCTCTCGTGCAGATAACACACAACAGAGGCTTTTCAGACCGGATGGTGGAGTTTCTTGAGATATACTTGATGCAAGTTATAAGCAGAGTAATCTCCTGGAGAGCCTAAGGGGACAAAAAAAAAGCTCTTCAGCAGATGTTTCTCTCAAGTATATCAGGAAATTTCAAGGCATTTGAGTAGGAATTTATAGAACTTAAGCTGTCAAAAATGGGCACACTCCCAGCTGAACTATAAAGAACATCATTTCATGGGAAATTAGGTTAAAACCTGGCATAGTGCTTGCACTTAAAAGGCAAACAATCTTGTTAGTTGAAAGAGAAGTGGACCTTTGTGAAGCACCGTTGGAACTAGAATTTTACTTTTTCACAGAGAGCATGGGCTTTGAGATCAGTTTATCCTAGCTGGCATCTTGGAGCTGCTTCTACTCATCGTAAATCCTTGGGAAATTTTGTTTGAACAATTAAATCTGTTTCAATATTTCTACTGTTAAAAAACAAAATGTTCTCCTTAGGAACAATACTGATAAAGTCCTCAGGTTATAGTAATGTTGAACAGGTAGAATAGCTGTTTTCAGGGAGGAATGAAGGGTGTCAGTTAATAATAAGATCTTTTGGGGGTATATTGGGTTAAGCTGCTACCTGGAGTGTCCAGCATCCCAGGAGTGCTGGTTTGAGTCCCTGATAATGAGCCTGGGAAAGCAGCAGAGAATAGCCCAAGTCCCTGGCCCTCTGCACCCATGTGGGAGACCCTAAAGAGCTCCTGGCCCCTGGCTTTGGGCTGGCCCAGTCCCAGCCATTGTAGCCATTTGGTGAGTGAATGAGCAAATAGAAGATTTCTCTTTCACTCTGTCTCACCCTCTCTAACTCTGCCTTTCAAATAAGATATTTTTTTTTAAAAAAGGGATCATTTGTTTAAAAATATAAGATCTTGTCTATAAACATTTAGCACATAGTTTTCAATACAGGAGAAGACAGATGGACTCATTCATTTGATAATTTAAAACATAAAGTTTCTGTTTCCTTCCAATATATCATACTCCCCTTTTAGATAACTTAAAAATACAACATAATTAAATGAATTCACACATTATCACCACCCACAGATGCTTCAGTCAGTACATAGATAGCCCCCCTTGGTTTTTGTGCCTCCAGTCTGTATCAAGGTTGCTGGTGCTTCCTTCACCATTATAATGGTGGGCCTATAACGTGCTTCTCAAAGCCCCAAAGGACTTGCTGCCCCAGTTGCCTTCCTCGGTTTCTCCAAGAACTGTAACACCTTGCCAGAGCTACTCGCTCAAGCCACATCCCTTTCCCTGGTGGCCTGCTTCCAAACATCTATCGCGCAGGAATGTAAAGCTCTCCGCAGGAACCTGCATTGTGGGTCACCTTCTCCCTTTGCAATCTTCTTTCTCCCAAGGGCACTTCTTGATAAATATTTGCAAGCTCTACCCAGTCTCAAATTTTGCTTTTTGTGTCTGCAACATCCACTTGGAAAACAGACTATTAGGCATCTCACTTAAGAGGAGCTGCCTCTCAAACATAATGGATTTATGAAGGATAATGGAAAGCTGAACCCTGATAAGGCTTCCTTCCTGTATCTCACACTCCAAAGATCCCCAAGTTCCTACCATTACCCATAGTAGTCAGTTATTTTCAGGCCACTCCACTCCTTATATTTAACACACTTCAAGTACAAGGAAAGTTCAAGAACTTTATGGAAATGGAATTTAAAAATAAGTTAATTTTGGGGGCCGGCGCTGTGGCACAGCAGGTTAACGCCCTGGCCTGAAGCACCGGCATCCCATATGGGCACCAGTTCTAGTCCCGGCTGCTCCTCTTCCAATCCAGCTCTCTGCTATGGCCTGGGATAGCAGTAGAAGATGGTCCAAGTCCTTGGGCCCCTGCACCCGCATGGGAGACCTGGAAGAAGTTCCTGGCTCCTGGCTTCGGATTGGCGCAGCTCCGGCCATTGCGGCTATCTGGGGAGTGAACCAGCGGATGGAAGACCTCTCTCTCTCTCTTTCTCTCTCTCTCTCTGCCTCTCCTCTTTCTGTGTAACTCTGACTTTCAAATAAAATAATAAATCTTTTAAAAAAATAAAAAATAAGTTAATTTTGGCACCAAAAAATTTAAAAATTCACATATGATGTTTCTCATATTATGTGTACTTTTTTATGTCCAAATTTTTCCAACAACTTTTAGAAGACCCCTAGTAGTTGAGTTCCAAGAACATAAAACATGAAATGAAAAGGGTCAAAAGAAGGGAAGATGGAAAAAAGAAAAAGCTCTCAAGTTAGAACATAGTCTCACATTGGTGCTAGTATTCAAGAGGAAAAATATGACATCCCAAGTCATATACACTAAAAGAGACACATACACCCAATATATCCTTAGCTATCATTAGCTGTCATTAAGATTCAACTGGACCAAAACTGTAAAGAATCCAAAAGCCACATCTTTCAGCATTCATTACATGACTTCTATTCTCCAAGGCGTGTGTTATATTCCTGACCAGTCCCCAGCACATATACACATCAAGGAAAGGAGAAAGAGCCCTCTTAACCCCAGAGAAATCTTCCTTTATCTCGATTAGAAACTAAATTCTACTCAGGAAACAGGGAGTTTGGAGCAGTGGATGACTTTGTATGCCAAAGTAGCAGGATACACACTCAGGAGAGCGTAATTAGAGACCATTTTGGATAGCACACACATGTTGTAAATATATTATCAGCTCATTTTCTAGACTTTATTGCCTTTTATTCAGTTATCAAACAATGAAAGCAAACATAAAGTAAAATGTGCTATTTGAATGTTTCTATTAAATCCTCAGCCTAGAAAAGCCCCCCCCCGCCCCCACAACTGCACAAAACTTTTAATAATGTCTATTGAAATATAGGAGACAGGTCTTTGGGAAGTGATTCAAAGATCAATAGAGGTCTCTACTTCATTTGTTTTAAGGTCTGTAACATCAAATACAGAGCAAGGTTTATGCACCAAGGTTTACTCTGTTAAAACTCTCTATCATCCTAAATCTATCTCCATAGCTGAACACTAAATAAATAACTAAGAATTTAACTGCCCTGTTTGCTCAGACAGCAAAGCCCTGAGAACCTGGGGAGTTAAAGACTGATTTCACCTACTTTCACCGTATTCTGCCAACCAACCTCTAAATAGTGGATTTCAAACTTAGCAGACATAAGAATCACCTGGGGAGTTCATTGAACCAGGTAGCTGAGTCTCACCCAGTTTTCTGATTTAGCAAGACTGGGGTGGAGCCTGAGAATTTATGTTTCTAACAAATTCCAAAGTGATCATTCAGGGACCACACTTTGAGAATCACTGTTCTAAAGGGTTTTGCCTTCAAAGCATACACTGTGTTGCATTTTAAATAATATACTAGATTGTTTTCCAGGTAGGTCATTAAGTACCTCTCTCAGTAGACTCACCAGGGAATTTCACCATATCCATCCATTATAGTTGATGTATTGTGATAGAGTGATAGCGTATTCTTAGGCTTGTACAAATCCCAGTGTGGAAAAAGCAACACTACCAGAGAAATTAACCAATATTATCATAGTCATCAATTTGGACAAAACTTAAGTTTCTCATAGATAGAAATTTTGAAAATTTTCACATTAAACAGACAACCCAGGAGATACCAATGCTCATCCAGGAACACCCATCAGTTCTAGTTTCACCACAACGTCTCCCTGAGGACAAATAAAACTTGGTAAGAAAAGAAAAAAAGAGGGAGATCAAATGGTTATGATCACATGAAGAAATTACCTGAAAGAATGGGTCTTTGTCAAGGCTGATTTCGAAAATGTGGGAGTCAAGGTTAGGCCTTCAAGGTTGAGACTTTCAAACAAGTTCTATAGCTACTGGTGCAGCTCCTACTAGCACTCCCAATAATTAGTTAATTAATATCATAAACTGACAGAGCAAAAGTTCCAACGTTGAATGACAAAGTACATCATCAGGTCAGAGCTCTGTAGTATCCCTAAATCAACTCATATCTTCTCAAAAATTGACCCAAAAATGACATCCATTCAAGCACTCTCTCTAAAAAAGAGGATTCATGGGCACTTGAGAATACTTTATTGTGCTCACTTTATATGACACTACGATTTCCCACACCCAAATGATCAAGAAAAAAATCAGGAGCTAGTAACACATTAATGGTTTTCCCTTGGTCTTTGAGTTGGGTTCATTGAGAACATCTGAGTGAGGCTTCTGGTATAAAAACGTTGCAGGTTTCCCAGCTCCTCTCCTCTCAACTTCCTGTTGCCTGGAAAGGCCTCAGCCCAAGACCTGGCATAATGAAACTCCTTATGGTGTTAGGAGAACTACTGCTGCTACTTGTTTCCTTGATGTGGACGTGTTCTGGGCAACAGCCAGGTATTAGGGTGAACTAATGCTGTCTTTGAGGGGTAGTTTTTTAATGACCATGAGTCATAGGGCTTTGGTTGCTAAAACTTTATTGTCTCATCCTAAAAGTTAAGTATTTAATAATTCTTGTTAGTTCATGTTTATTTTACTGTTGATCCAGTGAATATTATGGAGTGTTCCCCTCATGTTGTTGTTATTTTCTCTGAAGTTCTCATTACTCTTTCCCACATCTTCCCACTTGAGAGATACTGAAATTGCCCACTAAGTTGTGCCTGGACCCTCTGTTCTTCCACCCAACTCTGTCTTCTCATCACTGATATTTCATCTGTTCTTTCACCTCTTCACACTCAAGTTAGGCAAGCACATGTTCTTAGCTGGCCTTCCTTATCAATTTGCCTCTCTTCCTTTCAAGACCATCATGCATAACTATTTTTTGTCAGATACAGCTCTACCCAGACCACTTCTTAAACACTCCAGTGGTTCCCAGAAGCCACCTGGATGAAGTATAAACTCGTCCTCAGCATTCTATAATGATTCAGGATATTCTGAGACCCCATGTGTCTGTCCCTCAAAGTCTGCTTGTTTCTCCAAGGGTGTTGCATGGTTTCTCTACTGCAGAAGAGAATCGGGTGGGAACCCTCTACAATACCTTAAGCCCTTGAAGAAGCATGGATACTTGGTAACTTCAAGGGAGATAGATGTTAATTTTAAAATCTTGCAGATATATAACTGTTCTAACTGCTTAGAAGGAAAAATAAGATGGATTATAAAGGCATGCAATAAGTAAAATTAATGTCATTCTTCAGGGACAGGAGTGAATTCCTGGGGAAGTGGTATTTGAAGTAGATCTTGGGAGTAATATTTCCCTTAGCTAGGTGAAGATTTGAGTATTGTGGAGCAGAAAACACTGCTTCTGGTCTTCAGCCATAATGAAAAAAAAAATGGTAAAAAGAAGTCTTTGTTTCAGAAATGATCATCTATGTCCAGACTGCTGAAATATGGGCAAGATGAGTAGAATACAAAGAGGCTGATTAAAAAGTCATTTGAGGGCCGGCGCCGGGGCTCACTAGGCTAATCCTCCACCTGCGGCACCAGCACCCTGGGTTCTAGTCCCAGTCGGCCCTCTTCCAGGCCAGCTCTCTGCTATGGCCCGGGAGTGCAGTGAAGGATGGCCCAAGTCCTTGGGCCCTGCACCCACATGGGAGAACAGGAGAAGCACCTGGCTCCTGGCTTTGGATCAGTGCAATGCGCTGGCCGCAGCGGCCATTGGAGGGTGAACCAACGGCAAAAAGCAAGACCTTTCTCTCTCTCTCTCTCTCTCTCTCTCTCTCTCACTATCCACTCTGCCTGTCAAAAAAGAAAAGTGATTTGAGAAGACTAAAGGGATAGGCAGGGCAATGGAGGATTTTGAAATAGTGGGGGATATTATACAAGAGGAACTTTGACCCTGCACATGGCATTCTCTAGAAACCTTTCTAATTCCCTCTGCACATTGCAATGAGCTATCATATTATTATCATGCTTATTATAGGGGGTTTACTGGCAGTTACTAGAAATGCAGTTGTGCGAAAGCTGGGAATGGAGTGAGACAGATAGAGAAGAAAATCAAAGGGGAGGGGCTGGCGCCCTGGCTCACTTGGCTAATCCTCTGCCTGCGGCACCAGCATCCCACATGGGCATTGGGTTCTAGTCCCGGTTGCTCCTCTTCCAGGCCAGCTCTCTGCTGTGGCCCAGGAGGGCAGTGGAGGATGGCCCAAGTGCTTGGGTCCTGCACCCGCATGTGAGACCAGGAAGAAGCACCTGGCTCCTGGCTTCAGATCGGCGCAGTGCGCCGGCTGTAGCAGCCATTTGGGGAGTGAACCAAAGGAAGTAAGACCTTTCTCTCTGTCTCTCTCACTGTCTAACTCTGTCAAATAAAAAAAAAATCAAAGGGGACACAGTTGTGTTGACACCCTCACCATGAATAGCCCAGGTCTCTACCCCATCCCATCAGGCCCTGCCTTCAGGTTCTCTATCCCAAGTATCAGAGCCTGGCTTTCTGTCTGATACAGGTGCCTAACTGGAGAAAGTTGTGAATCACATGTTAAGAACATTTGTCTTTTTCCTACTCACAATGGGAACCCTAATTAGTAGAATAGTGTGCTGAGTGTCCATTGAATTGGGATTGACTAAAGGTCTCAACCACCCTATTTTGACCATTTCCAAGCTTTGCCCAATGCCCTTCCAAAAACCGCTTCACATAGATGAGGAATTATGGAAGACATAATTCTAAACAGACAATGCCTTGTGGACAACTTATCCAAGGTGGGTCCCTGACTCAACTGCCAGCATTGATCCCTAACTAGACTGCAAATATGGCTACCTGAAGCTTTGAGCCCCTGAGCCCCTGTCTCCCTCATCTATGGAAGGTGGAAATTACTTACTCAATTTCACAAGGATATTGGAAAAAAGCTCATACTTAGTAATAGAAATGTAAATTTTCAAAAACTGAGAGTTACTTTGTAAATATAAATTTCTCTCAAGTTTAAGATGGTGGCATTGAAAAAACTGTGGGTTTTTTTTCCTAGTAGGAGATAGCTGGTGGCAAAAGAGGCCTATGAGACTGTTAGAGTTTACTGTCAAGTGTCCCTGAAGCTTTAGAGTGGATACAGAGTCACTTTATATTATTTGTATGGGGGGTGGGTGTGTACGTTCACCATAAATATTGAATCTTGCCCTGCTGAACTCAGGAAGCTTTATTTGGGCTGTTTCTGTTACTATCTATAGCAACAACACTAGAGCCTGACAAAGATCTTATTCCTTTTCTACAAGTAAGGTCCCTGTTATACTTCTGTTTCTGTCCTACTGGAATCATTTAGCATTGATGAGCATTATCAGAATTCTCAATCTCCAGTTCCTAAATTCTTTTTATTTATTTTATTTGAAAAGCACAGAATTAGACAAAGAACTTCCACTGGCAGTTCCCTCCCTAAATGCCTGTAACAGCTGGGGCTGGGCCAGGCTGAAGCCAGTCTGAAACTCAGTCTGGGTGTTCCAAATGTGTGGCAGGGACCCAACTATTTGGGCCACCATCTGCTGCTTCCCCAGGGTGTGTATTAGGAGGAAGCAGGAATCGGACGCAGAGCTGGGACTGAAACAAAGGCACTCCAAAGTGGGATGCAGACATCCCAATCAGCATCTTATCTACCGTGTCTAACCCCCCCTCAATCTCCACTTGACATTTCTTTCCTTGTCTATTTGTCTGCCACATGTGTGATCTGCTGGCAGTAAAAATATATTGGTATACAACCTCTACATGTGAAACTTGTGAATTGTAGTTGGGGAGGAAATACTATAAATAAGGAAACAACTGATGATTCCAGATTATGATGAGGGTTCTATAGAAATAAATAGGGTTATGTGAGATGGAAAAGAAAAGCCACATGAGTAAGATACTCAGTGTAAGGTTTTCTTCTGAGAAGGTGGCATTGAGTCAGAATGTGAAAGAAGAGTGAAAGGAAAAATCCAGAGGAAAAGCAGACTGGCTGAGTTACATGATACTGTAATATAAGCTATTTCCTTTTGTTTATTTGATAATTAGTGAATTACAATGATGTTTAAATATATATGTTATCTGTACATTTTATTTAGGAATAATAAGGGAGGCATTAAAATTGCAGCATTGGCTTAAGATATACTGGGCTAGGGATTAGCAAATCAAGGAGGGTTAGGTGGAAAGATTCACAGACTAGGGCAATACAGTTTTACAGGCCATTGGGGTTTCACATTTTATGCTAATTGTAACAGAAAGCAATTAGAAATCTGCAACCAAGTTTGCAGCTTATCTAGGAGAGTGAACCTGGAGGTAGGGAGCACCTTCACAAGGCTGTTGCACCAGGGCATTGATCATGGTAAAGGGAATAGACTTGAGACAGATTTTGAAGGTAAAAGTAAGAAGACTTGGTGATAGACTGAATGTGGATATGAAGGGAAATAAGAAGTAGGGAATGAGTTCTAGAGGCTTTTTGGTTGGACATGGGATACTATATGGTGCTATTGAAGGTAGCTAAATGCTAAATGATTCCAGTAGGACAGAAACAGAAGTATAACAGGGACCTTACTTGTAGAGGCTGTATACCAATATATTTTTACTGCCAGCAGATCACACATATGGCAGGCAAATAGACAAGGAAAGAAATGTCAAATGGAGATTGAGGGGTGGGGTTAGACATAGTAGATAAGATGTTGATTGGGATGTCTGCAATGTGGTGCTATTGACTGAAAATGTAGAGAAAATAAGTAGGAAGTGGAGTAAAAATCAGGAGTTCCATACTGATCATGTGTATGGTGAGAGGACTATTTTAAGTATCCTCTTGGGTATCCAGTAGGCAATAGGAGAGATGGCCCCAAAACTCAGGAGAGAAGTCTAAGCCAGGTATAAATTGAATATTTTGATCTCCTTGAGGGAATCTGATGTAGTCCAAAAGCAAATGATCCAGATATGACTTCCAGTCCCACCTCTTCCTAGTGCTGTGAACCTGGAAGAGTCACTCCATGCTGTCCTGTGTGTATGTATACCAGCCACTGTGTGTCATACAGCCACTGGTAAAACATCAAAGCATGGGGTCTACCTTCAAAGGGCTCAAAATTTTTCAAGGACACCAGTACTAGGGAGCTGAGTGCCTGGTATGAGTGCCCCGCTAAAGACGTGGACCTCTGTTCCTCTACCAGAGATGGCCACAGTGGCTCTTTCTCAGACAAACATTTTTCAGAAAAACAGGAATGCATGGAAGTTGATGCTGCTCATTTGGGAGGTATCAATGAGAAAAGGAGGGACAAGAAGGGAATTACATTGTGAAGGGAATCATTTTTACACAAATCTCTTCAGTTTCATTTGTTTTAACTAACGATGGTCATCCTTCATGTGACCCAAGCCTGTTCAAATTTCTCCGAGCTCTTCACTGAAACAAAATTACTGATTTTTTTTTCTCCTCTTTTAACAGTGTTGTTGGAATGCAGTCATTTTTATTTCCGTGCTACAGTTAAAAGAGCACTATTTTATGAGAATGAATTGGTAGGTCCTGATGAATTATTTTTAGGAACTGGCTGTCCAGCAACTCAAGTGCGACCATATGAATTAAAGTTTGATTATCCCCTTAATCTCTGTGGAATTGTAAAGCAGGTAAGAGAAGCAACCATTTCGCCCAGTGCCATCTGAAAACTTTTTGGAAGTGCTGCTCTGTTTGTTCTTTATGTAATGTATAGCTGGTATTGCCAATCAGTGCCATATATAGCTTAGGAGAAACATGAAGAAACTTCTCTATTTTCTTTTTTTTTTTTTAACAGGCAGAGTGGACAGTGAGAGAGAGACAGAGAGAAAGGTCTTCCCTTTCCATTGGTTCACCTCCCAAATGGCAGCTATGGCTGGCGTGCTGCGCGGATCCGAAGCCAGGAGCCAGGTGCTTCCTCCTGGTTTCCCATGCGGGTGCAGGGCCCAAGTGCTTGGGCCATCCCCCACTGTACTCCCAGGCTACAGCAGAGAGCTGGACTGGAAGAGGAGCAACCGGGACAGAATCCGGCACCCCAACCGGGACTAGAACCTGGTATGCCGGCGCCACAGGCGGAGGATTAGCCTAGTGAGCCGCAGGGCCGGCCAAAACTTCTCTATTTTCATTCATTAACCTGAAACCTATGTATAGCATACTGAGAGCAAAAAAACTCAAAGACCTTCCTTTCAAAAGCTTACAGTCTATTAGGGTATAGAACCCATTACATGTACGGCATGATACAGCATCCATTTTCTAACCCTCATAATCCTAGGAGATTGATACCATCACCATTTATTTAGCTTAAGAAATTGAGGACTAAAAACAAGCAATGTAATCAAACTTATAAAGCTGAGTGTATATCAGAACCAAGGTCAGAAATCAGGCTTGCTGATGCCAATTTTGATAAGCTGCTTTAGTTTTCTTCTATGATTCTGGCATAAGCAGAATAGAATGTGTAACAATGGCTAAAAAATTACCAGAAGAACAGAGGAAAGAATTATCTAGGAAGTTCTTATAGTAGGAATTGAATTTACTTGTTCTTTAACAGACAACGTTATTGAAAACATACCTGCAGCATTTCAACATTAAAGTAAGGAAAGCTTGAGAGGTATAGAAGGTTTCTATAACACCTTAGTAAGCACAATAGAACTAACTCATCTTAAGTTGCACTACTTTAAACATAGGACTAAATATGTTCTATCATTAACTTGGCCTTGAAATCACAAACAAGGGGTTCCTTGCATATGTTGGTGTGAAGTTATTTCAATGAGTTCTCTTCACTGACCCATAAGTATCATGGTATCCTAGCACAAGTTTATGTTTATCCAACACAGAGCTCCATTACATGAGCCCTGTGTCCGCCGTAGCAGGATGCTTGTGACTCAGGTACATTCAACTACTCTTACCATGAAGAAAATGTAAGGCATTTTGAGATACTTTCAGAAGTTACAAGCACCTAGAGACCTAGGCAAAAGCCTAAACCCATATTATCACATAAGGATGATACTGCCACCCAGAGGACACTTGGCAATGTTTGAAGACAGTTTTGAGTTGTCATAACTGAAGACGGCTGGAATGATGAGTAGAAGCCAGAGATGCTGCCAAGCAACCTTCAAAGCGCAGGAGAGCTACCCACAACACATTATTGGAGTTAAAATGCCAATAATGTCAAGGTTGATAGACTCTGGTTTAAATAATCACACTCTCCATCTCTTCTACCTCAACAATCTAAGGAGCCTTCCACTAAGGAGCTTATTTTTACAACATTTTTTAAAAATTTTATTTAAAGGGGGCCAGCACAGTGGTGCAGTAGGTTAATCCTCCACCTGTGGCGCTGGCATCCCATATGGGGGCCAGTTCGAGTCCCGGCTGCTTCTCTTCCAATCCAGCTCTCTGCTGTGGCCTGGGAAAGCAGTAGAAGATGGCCCAAGTCCTTGGGCCCCTGCACTCACATGGGAGACCAGGAAGAAGCACCTGGCTCCTGGCTTCAGATCAGTGTAGCTCCAGCCATCTGGGGAGTGAACCAATGGAAGGAAGACCTTTCTCTCTCTCTCCCTCTCACTGTCTGTTACTCTACCTCTCAAATAAAATCTTAAAAAATGTTTAAGGTATGCAGATTTCATGTGTACAGATTTAGGAACATAGTGATACTTCCAACCCTACCATCCTACCCATGCTCCCATCCTTTCTCCTCCTTCCTGAGTTATTCCACCCTTAATCCTTACAATGATCTACTTTCAGTTTATACTCATAAGATTAACCCTATACTAAGTAAAGAATTGAGCAAATAGAAGTAGAAGAAGAAACTGTTCAGGGCTGTATACAACTGAAATAGCATAAATTCTGTCAATCCAGATGATGGCATTTCAAATTTTTTAAAATTGCCTCTCCTCCATCTTACCTCTTGATTAGAATAGCTGAGTGAGATAAATCATTTAGCTATTAGGAAGCACATGATTCAGCCATCTTACAGGATACTGTGCAGCTAATAAGTATACAATAAGTATAGCTTATTACAATAAGTAATGACATGGGAACCTTTCTGTTAATGTGGAAATAGAGAAGATAACCCCACATAAAATATAAAATGATCTCAGTAGCAGGAAAAATGGAGGGCAAAGGTAGGCATACATGCAAATAGTTAGATGTTTTATACAGGATATGATCATAGAAATTGTTGCTTCTTTGTTGCCCAACAAATGTATTTCAAATGTTCCCTATGGAGAGTATACAAGGAGATTTCAAAATGACCCTGGAAAATAGAATTAAAAGATAAGTTAGTTTGGTATAAAAATTTGAAATCTATACATAGCTTTTTTATAATATGCATAAAGAAGACCCATTATGTTTTATAACCAAAAAACTCTACTGGTTAGCATAATTACCTCACTTTTAATTAGCTATCTTCCATTTTGTCTAATACTTTCAGATATTTGGAAATCAGAAGTAAAGAGAATATATCACAATTTTGAGATATAAAGTATTTTAAGTTCTATGATAATTATCTACTCCTTTAAGTGTTCTTGTAGAATAACTTTTCTCCTAACTAGCCATGAAAATTTTTCTCTTCTAGAATTTTAATTTGAGAAGACTAATGGAAAGTCTCAGGGTCAACTGACCCACCCTCCCATGTTGCCAATTCTATTCAAAAATCATAGGAATGTATTTTTGTTTTCTGCTTCAGCTGAGTGCTTCTGCTTTGCAAGAGAGAATTTAATCATCTTAATTAGGATAAATATTTAGATGTTTAGAGACCCTGAATTAGACAAGTTTTATAAAATATATTGTGACAAATGAATATGCATTTCTTTTCCCACCAGGTTTTCTTTGATAGAGTTGTCATCCATTCCTGGCTTACCTATACACCAAGGAATCGATCATTTTCTGCTGAACTCCATTTGCAATGTATGGTTCCCAGGTCAGTTTAAAATATCTATTGATTCCTCCCACAAATATCAATGGCTTTTTGCCAAAATGTATCACAGCTTATTACTGAAAATCATGACAGTTTTTATATAACTTCTCAGCTACATATCTGTCCATCTTATCCATTTTTACAACCAATCCACCATTCAGAGGCCAAAATTCAGACCAAATGAGTTACACAAAATTACAAAGCCAAGAGTAGACCTTGCTTCTTTATTCTAGACCCTTAATTCTTTCTGTCTACTCTACTACATGGATCATGAAGACACACCATCAAATATAATTCATTATGCAAACAGTCGACCACATAATCTGCAGTGATTTCTTAAGTATGCAAATTGACTGTGACTCCTGTACAATTCAGGAGGCTCTGAGTTGTGCAGAAGAGTTAGAAATCATATAAGAGGCCTATGTTGTGATGTAGCAAATTAAGCCTCCACCAGTGATGCCAGCATCCCATATGGATGCGTTTAAGACTTGACTGCTCCACTTCCAATCCAGCTTCCTGTTAATGCAGGGAAAAGCAGCAGAAGATAACCCAAGCACTTGAGCTCTGCACCCATGTGGGAGACCCAGAAGTCCTGGGATCCTAGCTTGAAGGCCATTCTGGCCTTCGGAGAGTGAACTAGCAGGTAGAAGATCCTCTCTCCCTCCTCTCTCCCTCCTCTCTCCCTCCTCTCTCCCTCCTCTCTCCCTCCTCTCCCCTCCCCCTCTCCCCTCCCCCTCTCCCCTCCCCCTCTCCCCTCCCCCTCTCCCCTCCCCCTCTCCCCTCCCCCTCTCCCCTCCCCCTCTCCCCTCCCCCTCTCCCCTCCCCCTTCTCCCCTTCCCCCTTCTCCCTTCCCCCTTCTCCCCTTCCCCCTTCTCCTCCCCTTCCCCCTTCTCCCCTTCCCCTTCCCCCCTTCCCCCTTCCCCCCTTCCCCTTCTCCTCCTCTCCTCCTCTCCCCTTGTCTCCCCTCCCCCTTGTCTCCCCTCCCCCTTGTCTCCCCTCCCCCTTCCCCCTCCCCCTTCCCCCCTCCCCCTTCCCCCCTCCCCCTCCCCCTTCTCCCCTTCCCCCCTCCCCCCTTCCTCCTTCCCCCTTCCTCCTTCCCCCCCTTCCCCTTCACCCTTCCCCCCTTCCTCCTTCCCCCCTTCCCCTTCACTCTTCCCCCCTTCCCCCCTTCCCCCCTTCCCCCCTTCCCCCCTTCCCCTTCCCCCCTTCCCCCTTCCCCCCCTTGCCCCTTCCCCCCCTTCCCCCCTTCCCCCCTTCCCCCCTTCCCCCCTTCCCCCTTCCCCCCTTCCCCCCTTCCCCCCTTCCCCCCCTCTCCCCTTCTCCTCCTCTCCTCCTCTCCCTCCCCCCCTCCCTCCCCCCTCTCCCTCCCCCCCTCCCTCCCCCCCTCTCCCTCCCCTCTCCCTCCCCTCTCCCTCCCCTCTCCCTCCCCCCTCTCCCTCCCCCCTCTCCCTCCCCCCTCTCCCTCCCCCTCTCTCCCTCCCCCTTCCCCCCTTCCCCCCTTCCCCCCTTCCCCCTTCCCCCCTCTCCCCTTCTCCTCCTCTCCCTCCCCCCGTCTCCCTCCCCCCGTCTCCCTCCCCCCGTCTCCCTCCCCCCTCTCCCTCCCCCCTCTCCCTCCCCCTCTCTCTCCCCTCTCCCCCCTCTCCTCCTCTCTCTATAACTCTGACTTTCAACTAATTTTTTAAAAAATAAGAAATCAAATAAGTAGCAATGCATTTCCCCTCAGGAATTTGAAATTGCTTAAGCAATACATCATGTAGAAGATATAGTTTATTTATAACAAAGTCAGTTGGAAAATGAGGCTTTAGATCCACAACTAAGTGGTCTCCTGCAAGTTTACCCTAAAGTGAATCTGGTAATTTAAAAAAAAAAAAAACTATCCAATAACCTGACCTCTTGTCCAACCCGTGAGCCAGAACTGGCCCTTGAGAGACAATTCACCATGAGATAATGTTTTCCTGTTCCCTGGAACAGAAGAGATAAGCCAGGAAAAGAAAACATCTTTCCTTCCATAATTTCCTCTGGGAGAGGGGATCGAAACCAAATATTTCTTCTCTGGAAACAAAAAAAATTAAAATGAAAAAAAGTATCCAACATCCCTTTAAACAAAATGAAAAAATTTTATCCTTTAAGCAGTAGATACTCAATTTCTTTTAAGCAAGCTGGATTAAACAGAAATTTTGCTAAGCACAGATTCTGCTAGAGAGCAGTTTTTGGTTAAAAAAAAAAAAGTGTTGCATGTCACTTGCTAATAGCAAAAACTTCATTTACAGAACTATATGCCAACCACAAATTTCCAAGAACTTCTGGCATCTTAATCCTCACGACTGATCATTTACATGGGTCACTAATTCTGTCTCTGCTAAATGACTGGGAAACTTGGACATAGATATATTAAATGATTTGGTATTTTCATACAACTAGAAAGCCCCAGATCTAATTACAGGAAAAATGACTCAAAACCATTGTTTTACATCACAATGCTCTGTCTTTATGGCTGGTTAGTAGGCTCTTGTCGCTCATCTTCCAACCTGTCTGAAGTCTGACTGTAATGTAATCACTAAAATAAAAGTAATAGAATTTCATTAGCTCCTGATAACCTATTAATTAACATCAAGAGGTTCTAGGAATGTCTTGCCTTAGACCAACTGCTAGTTTCAGGCAAAAGTTACTATAAAACACTGACTGTCTTCTTGAAATAGTTTTTCCCAATTTAATAGAACAATTTCTTTGTCCATAATTTGTTATCAATGGAAGTTGTAGTGAGGATCTGAGGGTATTAACCAAGAATAATATGACAATATAATGAGTTGTAGCTGTTAAAATAAGACCTAATACCTTATGCTGAAAGTCAATCCCAGAAATAACTCTTAACCTTTTATATTTTAATTCCTTTTTTTCTTTCTTTTGAAAGCACCTACGTTGTACGTGATAACAATGTAATGAGTATGCCTGATGAAAACTGGTTCTTGATACAGAACAGATACTGTGCAATGTGTCGCTCTGCCCACTTCAGAGATAACTGGGTAAGGTTACCTACAAGAGCCAAATTTTCGTGTTTGCAATCAAGTGTTTTATGACTAAAAAAAGGCACTGGAGACAAGTAAAAACAGGTAAGGTATAAACTCCCTACTGAAGTCTAAAAAGACATACAATTTGGTGGTAGAGGTATCCAAGCAGGGGTATATGAGATTTTCTCCCTTGAACTTTGCATCACACCATATTCAGTATTAATATGAGGAAGGCCCTATACTCAACAGTCCTATACTCTCCTCATCCTAAATGTTTATCCTTTGTCAGTAAAGATTTTATTTTATAAAATTCAGAACTGAGCACTTGAATACAAAATGATGACACAATGGAAGCAGGGGTTGATAGATTCAGGCACTCTCAATTATTTTTTTCTTACCTTTTACAAGGAGACCAAAATATCATTTTTTTAAGATTTATTTATTTGAAAGTCAGAGTTACACACAGAGAGAAGGAGAGCCAGTGAGAGAGAGGTCTTCCATCTGCTGGTTCACTCCCCAATTGGCCACAACAGCCAGAGCTGCGCCAATCCAAACCAGGAGATTCTTCCAGGTCTCTCACAAGGGTGCAGGGGCCCAAGGACTTGGACCATCTTCTACTGCTTTCCCAGGCCATAGCAGAGAGCTGGATAGGAAGTGGAGCAGCCAGGACTCAAACCAGCAACCATATGGGATGCTGGCACTACAGGTGGTGGTGGCTTTACCTGATATGCCACAGCGCCGGCCCCCAAAATGTCTTAAGTTGGAAAGGGACCTCTGAAGGAAACATATAAGTTAAATTACTTGGGTTCTATCACTGGATCCAGTTTAAACAAATTTTAAAGAGATTTTATACTTTCCTAAATTTTTTTTATGATCCTCAAGAGGTAAGATCTGTTGCCCCCACTTTTAAAATCTGGAGTATTTGTGATATAGTGCATATCTGCAAGTTTTTAAAAAGATCATAATCTGGGGCCGGCACTGTGGCACAGCAAGTTATGCCCCGGCCTGAAGCGCTGGCATCTGATATGGATGCTCTACTTCCTATCCAACTTTCTGCTGTGGCCTGGGAAGGCAGTAGAAGATGGTCCAAGTCCTTGGGCCCCTGCACCCTTGTGAGAGACCTGGAAGAAGCTCCTGGCTCCTGGCTTCAGATCGGCATAGCTCCAGCCTTTGCAACCCATTGGGGAGTAAACCAGCAGATGGAAGACCTCTCTCTCTGCCTCTCCTCTCTAACTCTGACTTTCAAATAAATAAATCTTTTGAAGAAAATAAAGATCATAATCTAAAGTTTGTATATTTCAGCTGGCTCCATTCCCATTGTTACGAGCTCAAAGACAGTCTGTCTCTTTTGAGCATTTTAAATTAAACTTGGGTCTTGTATCTACTAATTATCTGTTGCTTATGAAGTTTTTTTTTCCCCACAGTCAACACCTTTTTATAGGCCACGCAACCACTCGCTCCAGAGACCTTTTAATCCACCTTCTCATCATCACAATTTTAGAAGCTTGTGCCCTTGGACACTCCCCAGCAACATTAAGTACCCACCTTCCTGATACGATTTGGCATTTTATTTTCATATATTTGCATGTTTTAAATTTATTTTAATCTCTTGTAATCCTTTTTATGATAACTTTGAAATGATATCAATGTTTTTAATATTCTATGGATCCACAAATCTATGAATAAAATGACATTTTATAGTATATCTGTTTTTATTACATTTCTAATTAAGCTAAGCTACATCAAGCTAGTTTCTAAGATGCTGGGCTGAGTTTCCAGGGACGTAGAGACTGCAAATAAATTTAATACCAATATTGTTTTCAATATCTATTGAATATTTAATAGTTGAAAACTAATCCTAGTCATATATAATATGGCCAGTAAGCTCACATAGAAGATAGTCAATAGAAATTGAAACCCATAAGAAGCAGAGAGCACAGATGGGAGAATGAACAAAATGTCTATTGACATTCTTCTTACCAAATTATTCTACAAGTTTAAATGATTTGGCCTGAGCTCGGTTGACACGCTACTCCATCAATCATCTGGGCACCTTCTCCTGAGCAATGTCAGTAACCCCTCCCTTCATGAGTCTTAAAGATTCTGTGTTAACTGAGCTTGTTGAACACAGCACAACAAAAGTTGAGATCATGTCTGCATATAATGCATCAAGGTCATCATCTTAAATTCGAAGGGCTGCCACTGTGGTGTAGTAGGTTAAGCCTCTGCCTAGTGACCTGTCACCCTATGTAGGGGCTGGTTCTTATCCTGTTTGCTCCACTTCTGATCCAGCTAATGGCCTGGGAAGGTAGTATAAGATGGCCCAAGTGCTTGGGCCCCTGCACCCATGTGGGAGACCCAAAAGAAGCTCCAGGCT